AAATTCCCTGTTTAAAATTGTAAAAAAAAATTGCCTAGTTAATCGGAGTACGTCTACAGTAATTAATAACATTCTTGCCTACCTACTACTCACAGTCTACTTGATCCACATTATTGAATATCACATGAGGTTAGGTTTGCAAAACAGTGCAAATTGTAAGAGACAGACGAAGGATCTCCAAAGCAATTGATGCGCTCATAGAAGACAAAGGTACAGGGGAAAATACACAAGGACTTGCCCAGCAATCTGATCAATCTGATTTTACTGACAGGCAAATAGGTACTCCGGCACTACGAAAGGCAACAAGTATGTGTACAAGTTCAAGTGGCAGCTACCCAAAGTGGACCAGACCAAGAGTATGTATTAAGCAAAATCAAAACAAATTTCAATTTTGTTGTAGGCCATGGTGCAGTGCTTATGAGTTTAATTGTTACTTGGAAACATATCAATTTTAGTTTTTGATCAAGGAGTTGTACATTTTGTTGTTAGCACATGCACAACTAAAGAATTTAATACACATATTCATGCCTTCGCTGTGGATATCAATGAACCTCCTATGCTTCACACAGTAGAACCAGAGAAATTGAAGGATCACCTGCCCTACTCTGCCTTAAACACATACCAAGAAAATGTACCTCGTCAAAATTACATATCTCTGCGTCATTTAGTGAACTAATGTAAACTAACATTTCTGGTGATTTAATATATAAAAATATTGCAAGAATAGGGAGAAAAAGTCATACGTCACGTTGCCTAGCTACCTGTTTCGCTAGGGCCAAACAAACCTTGATCGGCCATGTTGTTGTATTCTAGTGCACTGAGTTTTGTAGTACCTCTATAAAATCGCTATTTCCGTAACTTATATTGCATCATCCCGTTTTATTTTGGAAAGGCACTAATACTAAATAATCTATTTACCATATATTGTAAAGTTTACCTTAATTTTTGGATTATAAGTTATAAAAATTAAGATTTTAAAACTTATATAAGGCCTATATGTCGGTACACCGCCGGCACGTACTGTCGTGGTTAAATCACTTTTTTGTAAAGAAATGTACGTACGAGACGATACCCACAAGTAATATTACTTTTAAATTAGTTGTTATGTAATTTACTGTTGTTATTGTTAGATTATAACTTGCAAGTCTACATAAATGGTAAATACGCCATTCGTAACTACTCCAGCCAAGATCTAGATGCCTAGTAGAGGCCTGTATTTCAGTGAGTATCCCCGTACGTGTCGTCTGTGTACCGACGCTTAGGCCTACGTTCCGGGGGTACGATTTTAAAAGGTACTACAAAATTGCAGTGCATTAGGAATACAACAAAATGCCCGACCAAGGTTTGTTTGGCCCCAGCGAATCCCGGTAACCAGGCAACGTGATGTCACACTTCCCTTTTCTCCCTATTGTATTTGAAATACATTTAATTACCCATAGTGAAAAACCTTTGTTATTCCATAGCAAAAACCTTTGTTAAGATTGGCGCTATTTTAGTTTACGCTAATAGGTGCCAAATTTGCAATACTGTAGCGCTATCTGTATCTGCTATTGAACCTTATGATCTTATTGATAGTGCTAAATCTAATAAAGTTTTCTTTTTGGCATGGAAGCTACGCTTCTACTTGACAAAATGAAACACAAGACCCACAGGGCAATGGACAAGCAGTTAGTTGAGACTTTTTTAAATCCTTGTTTTGTTTACTTATTTGTTTAGAGATCAGAGGAGGCCGTGGAATAAAAATACATATGTCTTATTTAGCTTTTTCCAAAAATATCTAAACAAAGGAGAAAATAAAAATGTATTTTATTGGAGATTGTAAAATGGGATGATTTAAATGCTTCAAATTTATATAATTAGGAAGAAATATACGTATCTTTGGAGATTTCAAATTTAAAATAAAAATTAAGAAAAAAAAAAAATTCTGAAATTTCTATTATGATCGTGGCAGTGCAGTGCTAATTGGCCAAAAATATATTTTTAATTTTTTTCAAAACCAATATTTGTGGGTGGAAAGTTCACAAAACAACATCAAAAAAGTCTCATCTAACTTTTTAATATGACGTGCATATATGAAGTGTTTTTTCAAACTTGTTAATGAAGGATTTTTTTTTCATGTTAATTGCAGTTGCTTAAGGTAATTTTGATTGATTAATTTACGTTAAAACTTGAAAGACAATAACAAGTGGTTCATGAATGGATGTTAAATGCACCTGTTTAAGGTATTATAGTACACAGAATATAGAAAAGTGTTACTTTTTTTCAAAGGTTTTTGAATTTATTGAAAGAATATACAAAATTAAACTTACTAACAAGAATTTTTATATATTCGTGGAAAATAGCATAACTGACAGTTATTTGACAGACTAATTTGCATAAAATTGGCTTAATGATAAACAGTCATAGAATATCTCATAAAGTTTTTCAAAATGCATAAACAACAATGTACCAAAAATTTAGATTTATTTAAAGGTTATTGTGGTTGTAACATAATAACTTATTTAATTATTATATTATTCAAATATTTATATAGCAAATTCAATTCATTAAATTTCTAAGGAGTTAACTAAGGAGCAGAGTTAATGACAAAATTGCTAAACATTTTTAAAGAAAATATTGTGATCCCGAACTTTATAATAACATTCAACAGTAAATATGTGCTAAGATTGAGGCTGAAGTCGAAATTTTAATGTAAAAAATGAAAATGTGTATTTCTGTGCACTGTAATACCTTAACTTAATCTTAAAATGTCTTATCGCATATTTGACATTATCGAATACTTTATTGAAACAATAAATGAAGCCACAGTGTAACTCATTGAGAGAGAAAAACCTAGATTGAAGATGGTAGTATTGTAAGATTTTTGCAAGTATATACATCCTCATCAAAATACTGTATACACTACTGTATTAGGAGTGAAATGAGTAAAATTTAAAAAAATCATTATTATGATTTTACACTAAGTATAACAAAAGCTATTCAATTTAGGAGGAAAAAAAATAAGAAAAATTCATATTATACATACAGAATGATGACATTTTTAAAAACAAATACTGGAAGTGTTTGTGTAAAAAATGTAAATCTGTAGATGGACATGATTCTTTTCAATCAGTTTTTCAAAAGTTTTAAACATTTGAAAGTTGGCTATATTATGAAATTAATTGTGTTTTATTCAATCGAACAATTCAATTTAAACAAACATTTTTAAAGGTAATTTGGTATTAAAATGTTATATTTCGTGTTTCTAAATATTGGAAAAAATGTTTATATAATTGTTATTACTGTAGTAAAATATATTTCATACAAGAAAATAAGTAAGGCGAGACATTTTTTCCTTGTTTCGCGAACTTATATTTTTAAAGATGTTTAGAGGAAGGTGGAATAAAAATTAAATTTTGTTTGATTTATTTAGCTATTTGCTAATTAAGAAACAAAAATTAATTTAATTTTTTCTGTAAAAGAGAATGCCTAAAATTTATATACAATAATCAGGAAATAAATGCACGGTATACATTTTATTTTTGGAGATTTCAAGGCAACGAAAGGGCATAATTAAAGAAAAACTTTTAATCTTTTTTTCTGAAATGTCTGTATTTAGTGTGAAGGGAATGCTAATTGGCCAAAAATGGAATTAAAAGATTTTTAACAGGAACACTGTTAAGGTAAGTTATAGCTGCATGCCTAATATAGGATCTATAATCTCTGCCCATAATAAAGCCATACTTAAAAATGACAAGGCAGAAGACAACTGCAAGCTATGCAATTGCCGAAACCATAATGAATGCCCACTATCTGGGAAATGTCTAAGTAGCAGCGTAGTATACCAAGCTACAATTAGTAGGGACGACAATAATGAAGTTGAAACATACGTTGGTCTTACGGAAAATAAATTTAAATGTAGATACAATGGGCATACCTGCTCATTCCGTAATAATAAATACAAGAATAACACTACACTTAGCCAATATGTTTGGAAGCTTAAAGAAGATAACATAAAGTACAAAATTAAATGGCGTATATTATCTAAATGTAAACCATATTCCAACTCTACCAAACGATGTAACCTTTGTATACAAGAGAAGTATTTTATTATATGTCAACCCGAAATTTGTACTCTAAATCAGAGGAACGAATTATTCAGTTCATGTAGACATAGACGAAAGTTCTTGTTACGATATACTACTTAATCCTGCAGGCTTTCTTTTATCCATCTAAACAATAGAGACTTAATCACTTGGTAATTAACATACTTTTGTTCTGATAAACTGTTACAATCTATGTACTTCATTATTCCTTCACTCAGAGCCTAGCACCTGATGATTGAGGTACTCCTCATGAAACAGCCTGTAGTGCAATAAAATATTGAGTCTTTAACCCAGTGTTACATGTTTTATTTGTCTATCTGCTCTGCTATATACTGCATTGAGCACTCTTGTCTACATGATCTGCTTTAAGCCAACCACGCAGATTATATATATATATATATATATATATATATATATATATATACATATATATATATATATATTTCTATAGTTATATTTTATATGTATGGGCAGATGAAAAGTAAAAGTGAAAATGAAGTCGAATCTGGGTTATTTTCTTTATGGCCTATAGACATCTTCACCAACTGGACCATTGGGGCTTGGTTGGAAACTCTAATCCGATTCAAAGCAACTGATTTCAATATTTTTGAATATGCTATGAACAACCCTACTCTTATACACATTGCGTAGGCCTGTAACAGTGATGAATTAATGGTCTCTGTCACAACAAAACAAAATGTGCAGACACATTGCGCATTGTAGGTAGGTGTGGAAGCTAATTCGGTTCATTGTGACAAAAGTTGTCGGTAATTCCGAGTGAAAAATATCGTGCTAATTAAACTATGTTTTTATTCGTCGCGGTAGCCTAATTATGCGTTAAATATGGTTACAGCTTAAGTCACTCGAGTGATTCAAAACCTGGTGCCGGCAGTAGTCATTGAGAGTGTTTTTATAATGCCGACATTGACCAGTAATTTTCTATCCGCTATATGTTTACCAATTACATTTTCGAAATTGATATGTGAAACAAAAGAACTGTTGAATGTTGGTTGGAAGTTGGTAAGTTTCTCTAAATTTTAACTACAGTATTTATTGTTCATATTTCGGTAACTTGTGGGCCTCGTGATAATATGTCGATAAGATTCCAGACAAGATCAGTATGGGATAGTATAATTACTCCAAGTATCAAAATGCGTCAGGGATTTAGCGTTGTGTTCGTCGTCAATCAATAGAAAATTCAAATTAGTGAGTGGTAAAATAATCGAACTCTCCATTCGCCCACTGCTGGATCCGAAGCTGAAATCATGGGTACACTTCCTTTTTTCCCCTCTATCTTTCTTCCCCTTATTCTCAATTTTCTTTTTATTTTTCGGCGTGACTGACGGGCCCTGTGGCCCCCGGTGGATCTGCCCCTGAAAAGGTAAAAAGGAGGCAGCAATTGTTCGGGGGAAGATTCTAATGACAATACGCAGCTGTATATTTTTGTGTCTGGTGGTGTAAAAATTTCCCTGTTTCTGTCTCTTATACACATCTAGATAAGCAGCCAGCTCCCATACTATCCTATCTGTGTTTAATCAGTGGACCTTTCAGATCAGTATTACACTTATATAAATTTAAAGGCGAGTTTGAATATCCGGTTTAGAATTGTTATAGATTTGTTATTTACCGACGTGAACATATTACGGTGGAGCTGTAGCTAGGTAGATAAGGTATGCCTGATTGCTTTCCAGTGCTAAGATCTTTCAAACACCGCGATATCGTCCAACTACTCCACTCCTTAAATCTCATAATTGTTTGTAAAGCATTTCTGTATATACTCATTACCCAATATTCGAAAAAGGTTTTTGTCAAGATACACATGCAATGAATGGGAGGACCTGTTTCTCTCATTCTCTACTATTCGTAGTCTTAAAATACAAGTTTTTTTAATACTGAACTATCGGCACGCACGTTGTTAAAACCAAACACCCCTGGTCAATTACCCAGGCTCATAATTACTCTTTCAACTCGGAGTATCAGAGAAATTGTAAAACAAAATAGTTTAAAACATTCTTCCATAATACTTTAGAACCACTAGGTTTTTGCAGGGGTTTCCTCCGCTGCTAAATTCCAATGGCGATTACCTGGCCAAAGGTACATAATTATATACCTGTATCCCTAATGTTTTGTTATGCTCTAGAGATATAATGATTACAGAAAACTCTCAAAATTAGTAACAACATCAGATCCATCGTATATTTTTGCCGGGGCATGTTGGTGGTTCCCTGTCTCCAGCCATTCGCTCACTTTGCACGCACTAATCACAAATGACTCATATCGTGCCGTCATCGTCATTAGAAGCGTCATCATCATCATGAAAAAACATTTTGTCAGATTAAAAATCTGTCCCATAGACACCATATGTGCGATATCTTTAGCTCGGGATACATGCCTGGTTCATTTGGTTAAGTTCCAATTAAACTAAATCTTGTTCTTCTTCATAGAAGTAGGCCTATGTAGGAGACGTTTAAACATTAATTTAGATTTATTTTTCAAATGTGGCAGTGATTATTCTTCTCGAGATTTGTTTTAACCCTACTTTTAGAGTGCATCCATGCTACTTGAATGCGCATTGTCAACGAACAGTGTCATATTTGTGGGTCGTCATGATAAAACAGAAAAGGCGGCTGCATCTTTTGCAGACCTAGTAAGTAAATTACCATTAATAAAATTGTATTAGTATTTGTATAGCACCTGTTAGAAAAAATATTTGTTGTACTGCTTAAAAATAAGAATTATTGATTAAGGAGTTCCGAATGCATAAGTATAAGAATTTAATCTAAGTTTATGTTGAAGAGAGTTGCACATTTTCGGAGCAGTAAAATAAAACGGTAAATACATGCACCATTCTAGATACTGATAACATGAAAACGTTCGACTGTCTCGTGAAACGTAAAGATAGTAGTGAGATGGGTAAAGAGAGATAGAGCATGTCCATATAAGCTTTATGTGTGAAAAGAATAATTTTTAAATTTAGCCTAAACTTAGTTCTGTACCATGATGCAAACAGTGAATGCCATTTGGCATGTATAATTATGTCAATGAAAGTGTCAATAGTAATTTTCTCTTCATTTACAATATTTGATAATAAAATGTACATAATTTACGAAGTGAGGATAATTTAGTGTTATATCGCACATATTGGTAATCTTGGATAGTCTTTTAAATAAAACAGATATAATCGTCCTTCGCTATTGCAATATGTATACATTTACACATGCATATATTATATAAAAGATCAGCAATTAACAAATATTATATAATATAATATAATTTATATATATATATATATAAATATATATATACATATGTAGGCCTATGTACAGTTTTTTCAAGATTTTCAAAAGATGGTTTAGAGTTTTCTAAGTTATACAGTACCACCTTATTTCAGATTATAACAACAATTTGCATTTTACCTGGATTTGGAATAGTTACCGTCTGCAACACGTACATTGCAAATGTGAGTATATTGGCTAAGTATTTTAGAATCAATTACACATTGCCTGTCTGCTATGATCTTAAAACAATGAAAATTTATTTACATATTTGAATTGCTAAGTTTGTGTATTCAAGTTAGTTAATTAAGTTACAAATAAATATACCCAGCAATGACGGCGCCGTTAGAGGGCAACCTTTTGAGTACTTGAAATTTGATTTGTGTATATCATTTGTGTTTAGACAAAAGACATGCAAAAAGACAATATTTTTTTATTTATTAAAAGACAATTAAAAGAAAATTGAGTGCAACGTGGACCACGGGATGCAATAAATGACACCTTGAAAAAATACTGTACATTAATTATTACAAGAAATTTAATGATGCGAAAAGGAAGATGGCATTATCTATGCCTATTCTTTTAAACCGGGCACTCACTACGCCCGACGGTCGTGGGCCTACGCTATTTTATTAGGAATGCAACGCGACGACGCGCCCGCAACTGATCGTTTTTAATGACGATCCGTTCAGGCGACCACCGACTATCAGCTGTTGCGGCAACGCAGCGTCTAGCGCTCACAGCGAACGGAGTTGACTTCGTCGTGCGACGGCCGTACGACCGTCGTCCGAAGCAGTGAGTGCCCAGCTTAAACATAGCACGTCAGATGGGTTATACACATTGTAAACACAAACTGCGCTTTGTGTGTTTCTAACCATTAAATGCTAACTTTTTAGAGCAATGGAGAACAACTGCGTTACAAACAAGAAATTATACTGCAGAAAGCATTATTACTGTGTATCATCATATCACTGCTAATCTGCCCATTATTGCTAAATATGGAAAATATTCTGATACTTCTATACCAAGATCCTGAAATAAGCTTGTAAGAATACTTATCTTTTATTAATATTCATGTCATATTAATTTTAGCTTTCTCATCAAATTGAAAATTATACCTTATCAAAACTAATTTTGTCATTTCAATTTGAATATTTTTGATCAGCAGTAGATAATATTTAGAAACACGACATAATTAACAGACATTTCTTCTAGTAATTTGTTTTTGGTTTTTTTTCTGTTTCTTTTTTAACTTTTTCTTTCATATTTCTTTTCTTTCTTGTTGGTTCTGGCACTAGGATTGCACCTTGTGGACACCGACAGCTTATAGATGTCCACTATTATTATCTATTATTATTATAATTATTATTATTATTATTATTATTATTATTATATATTTTTATTATTATTATTATTATTATTATTATATAGGTATATATCATTGGCTGTCCATCGTTTTCGATGATGACTGATCCGACCCATCATTCATATTTATTTATTTATTTATATTTATCTATATTTATTTATTTATTTAATAATATTTTTAATTAATTAATTTAATTAATTTATTATTTATTTATTCATTCATTTATTTATTTAAATTTATTTTGTTTTATTTATTTATTTATTTTTTAGTTATTTTTTCCTTCATTAAGATTGTTTTTGCCTGTGTTTCCTTGCGTGGCTACGCAGTCCAAATTCGCTGACGCTCCGAAAGCCACAGATATTGCAGGTTGGTGAATTGTCATCAATTACACGTGGGCATCTTGCAGCAGCGTGTCTGGCATCCCTATTCTTTTTGGCAGCATCACAGCGTTTTGCTTCAGCTACATCAGATGCTGTATTGATGAGCCTTCTCCATTCCATTCAGATCTGCCACCTTTCAGTTCTCCATAAAGGATCTGACTGGGGAGACGCTCGCTGTTTATCCGTATGACATGACCTGTCCATCGTAATTTTAATCGCATGATGGTCGATTCAATGCTGACTATTGCAGCTCTTTGCAGTACTTCTTCATTGGTGACCCGATCTTGCCAGCGTATGCCCATGATATAGCGTACGTGTCTTTGCTGAGTTTTCATGAGCCTCTTTATATGTCGTCTATAGAGTGTGTACGTCTCGGACGAATATAGTAGTGCTGGTAGGACAACTGCACGATACACCGCAATCTTGGTTGCCAGCTTTACACCCCGTCTGTTCCACAATCGGTCTTGCAGTCTCCTGAAGGATGCACATGCCGCTTGAGTCCGTCGCCCAATCTCAACATCCAAGTTGGTATCAAACGTCACCATACTGCCAAGGTAAGTAAAACTCTTCGTAGTTGGGAGCAGGGCACCATTAAGAAGGATCTGTGGTTCGAGGTACGGGGAACCAGGAGGCGGTTGGTACATTACTTCTGTCTTTGTCGTGTTGATGGTAAGACCGAAATCTGCAGCTGCACTTGCGAAGCGCTCAACAAGCTGTTGCAATTCGGCTTCGGAGTGTGCCACAAAGGCAGAATCATCAGCATAAATAAGTTCTTGCACGCAAATGTCATTAACTTTCGATGTTGCAGTCAGACGGTGTTTGTTGAATAAATTACCATCATACCGTGTGCGCAGCCACACACCTTCGGACGGTGGATCCATCGTACATGCTTCTAGTACCGCTGCAAGAAAGAGACCAAAAAGAGTGGGTGCCAGAGTGCATCCTTGTTTCAGACCACCAGTTACTGGGAACGCTTCAGATAGTTCTCCGCCGACAAGTACCTGTACTGTCATACCATCGTGAAATAGTTTGACGATGTTGACAAATTTCTCCGGGCAGCCAAACTTAGCAAGGATCTTCCATAATGCATCACGCGTGACACTGTCGAAAGCTTTACAGAAGTCTATAAAGCAAATGTAAAGCGGCATGTTCTGTTCACGACATTTTTCTTGAATTTGGCGTAGCGTGAATATCATGTCTGTTGTACCGCGATTGGGTCTGAAACCACATTGTGTTTCCGGGAGCAATCTCTCGGACAAGGTCGACAGGCGCATGATAAGGATCTTACCAGCAATAGAGAGAAGTGTTATTCCACGGTGATTTCCGCAAACCTTACGGTCACCTTTCCGTTTGTAAATCGTGATGATGATGCCATTTTTAAAGTCACTTGGCATTATTTCTCTGTTCCATGATTCAATGATGATTTGTAGCATCTTTTCCCGGAGTTGGCTGCCACCGTGTTTGAAGATTTCTACGGGTATCCCATCTGCACCCGGTGATTTGCCATTGTTACACAACTTGATGGCCGATTCCAGCTCGTCCATTGTTGGTGGTTCAGCGAGCGCATCATTAATAGATCGTTGCTTTATCTGATCAATTACGTTGTCATTCACTGTAGATGGACGGTTAAGCAGCTCATTAAAGTGCTGAACCCAACGGAACATTATTTCCTTCTTTTCTGTGTAAACCTGTGTGCCATCATTGCTAGTAACAGGTGTAGCAGTTCCCTGGGATAGCCCAAATACCTCTTTTAGTGTGGCAAACAGATTTTTACTGTCTTTAGCATCGTTAAACTGTTTGATCTCTGCAGCTTTGTTGAGCCATTACTGGTTTTTCATTTCTCGGAGTCTCTTCTGCAGCTTTGCTTTTGATTGTTTGTATAGAGCAGTTACAGACCGCGTGCATCCTTTATGCAGAGTCTTGTTGAACATCTTCCTTTTGGTTTCCAGAAGTACTTGTATCTCAGCATCATTTACGTTGAACCAGTCAGCATTGCGACGTTCAGGATGGCCAAGCACTTTAGTTGCAGTGTCATAAACTTTTGATTTAAAGTCATGCCAAAGGAATTCAGGTGAGGTGTTTTCAGGCTGTTCACAATTAAGGCTTGCGTCCATGCTGATTGCTAGCTTTTTTGCCACTTCTGGGTCCCGAAGGGCCGCTAAATTCAAATGTTTGGCTGGTTTTGCTGCAGTTTTCTGACGTGGTGGATCTACAGTCAGTTTCAGCTTCGTCCGAATCATTCGATGGTCAGTGTGGCAATCCGCACCACGCTGTGCCCGTGTGCTGCATACGTCCTTGATGTCCACTCTTCGAGTAAGCACATAGTCGAGCAGGTGCCAGTGTTTGGAACGCGGATGGCACCAGGAGTGGTACCACCCATCGGGATTGTTGAAGTAAGTATTAGTTACTGCAAGATCAAACTCAGTGCACAGCGACAGCAGCATTTCACATTGCTGTTGGTTTTTCCACAGCCAAACTTGCCGACCACCCTGTCCCACGTCACATAGTCTCCTCCAACACGTGCGTTGAAGTCCCCAAGAATGAGAATTTTATCTGATTTCTGGACAGATCGAATTGCTTCAGCCAGTTGACTGTAAAATCGTTCCTTTGTTTCATCATTATTTGTCATTGTCGGTGCGTAGGCGCACAAGACAGTTGCCGATCGCCGCATATCCAGATCAAGTCGAAGTTGAATCAATCTGGGAGAGATTGGTTTTGGTTGTGATGGTAGGTTTCTTAGCAGCTTGTTGGAGATTGCAAGAGCTACACCCGCTTGGCTAGGGCCATCTTTCTGGTGGCCAGACCAGAAGAAGGTGTAATTTTGCTCTTTAATTTGTCCCTGTTCTTTCAAGCGGGTTTCCTGCAGTGCTGCAATATCAACGCTGTACCTATAAAGTTCTCTATCCACCAGTGCTGTGCGACGTTCGGGTCTGTCAGACGCGCTACGGTCAAGTAACGTGCGTACATTCCATGTAACCATTGTAAGTCTTTTCCGTTTATTTTTCTTCATTATTTTACAACCACAAATATGGAGTCCCGGTGGGCGTGGCCAACCCACCCAGGTAATCTAGGAACACCCAATGTCTACCCCACCTTTTCTAGGGGCTTCCCGAAATTCGGGCAGGCTGTGGTACCTCTGAATAGAGCAGCCCGGACGCTGAAGTAGCTGCCCTGAGTACACCGTGTTCCAGTTTGCGTGCACCACACAACCATCACACTTCAGCCGCCTACGTGCAGACATCTGACTGACAGCTCTCAGGACTCAACCCTGCTGCCTTCGTCATACTTCCATCGCCATAGGACTTTAAGTTGATTATTTTGCGGGTCATCACGCCTTCGCAATAATTTAAGTGACGTACATCACGCGACTGAATGACGTCACTCTCTGATCCACAACGCCATGATCTAGCGGCATATCGAAACACGACGGCTGGTGACGATGTGGTCCGGGATTTTTCAGAGTCTATCCTTCTCGTACTAGGTAGATGGATCCTAGTCAGATATTAATCTATTTAACCCATAGCTGGGGCCATATCCTGCGTTAGATCCCAGGCCGCACGGCCTGGGTTAACAGGGTCCACCACGAGAAGGTGCAGGTTGACTTGGGTGTGAGAGGCTATAAACCCAGAGGAGGATTTACAAAATTACCTCCCTTTTCGCCAAGAAGAGGGAGGAAGAAGAAATAGTGATAAGTGAATGAATAGAAGCGAATAAAGCAAGATTAGAGGAAAGAAAACAACAGAGATTAAAAAAAGTTTGGCTAGGGCCCACGCATGGTGCAAGTCACATGAAAGCATGGTTCCGAATGAATGTGAGACGTTTCAACACCCCATGGACCCCATTAATATTAATGTAGATAATATTTAGAAACACGACATAATTAACAGACATTTCTCCTAGTAATTTGTTTTTGGTTTTTTTCTGTTTCTTTTTTAACTTTTTCTTTCATATTTCTTTTCTTTCTTGTTGGTTCTGGCACTAGGATTGCACCTTGTGGACACC